TTATATTTTCATTGTCTTTTTCCAAGAACAACCAGAATATAAGGCTAGATCCTAGTTCGCAAGCCACTCGCCATATTTGACCCTGATTGAAAACAGAACATTGGATTCTTGCCGAATACTATAACTAGTTAGACTACTAGAAAAAGTCTGTCCTTTACGGAATAATCGATAATTGATTGATTAATTGCTAAATTTCTCATGAAAAATACGCCTATATAGTTTTTTTTTTTCCGATTGAATGTTAATTGGTTTGACAGACCACTTGCACACTCGGATTTATCCTCTGTTAATATTATTATATATTTACTGTAAACCATTTACCACAAATCAAGTAGTTCTGATAGAGGGTTACCACATACCACATACAAACCACTTTATAATATAATATTAACCACTTAAATACATCGTTTATGTAAGTGGTATTATTATACTGTACTGTACAATAGCAGAATACTAATTTAATCTGTTATCTGAATCAAGTCCTATCTATCCGAGGTCTAGCAGAACTATTTGGTCCGGGCCTCACATTTACATGGGCCTTAAAAACATTTGATACAATCTCACATTGTGAAAAAAAATCTTTATTTTCTGTCAAATTTTATTGTTTAAAAAAATAAAATACAAGTTTTAATGCTGAGCTCCAGAGTCTGATTTACATTTGTGGTCCTAAACTATAATATAATCGGCTCATCCCTTCCACCAAATGATAATGGATAATATATGTAAGGCCCTAAGCTGCACCTTGTTTATTTTGTGTAAATACAGCCTTCATAGAGCTTCCGAAAAGAGTCCTAGCACTTTAGGGCGGATCACTTTACTAAAAATACTTTTCCCCGTAACATATTAATTTCTATTTTTAATAAATTACATTGTTAGAAGGGAGGAAATATTATAATTTAAACAGCAGAATAATCTATTATTTCGACTGGAAATGCAATACTTGTTTACTTTTCTTTCTTAAGCTAATTATTATTATCTTGTCATAAAAATGCATATAAATTTCATTAATAGAAATGAATCATGTGGAAACTTGTTTTACAACATAATTGAGAAACTTGACTTTCGGAGAAAAAAAATTCCCTACAATTTTTAAAAAATAATTATCAAATTATACACGCAACAAGCTTCCGTTCTGTTANACATGGGCAAAACCATACTACACACCACTCAGGCAAGTGCTATGTGCTACCTGTCATAGTAATGACACATAATAGCACATTTATTTGGCACTAAATCATTGTCACAGTAATTAAGTGAATATAATATATTTTTTATATAGAAAAATTAAGATCATTCCAATAAAATCGGTTTTCACCACCCCTAATACAGGGAATCCTGATATTTTATTTTTTATTTTTGATTTTTTATGATATCATTCTTCTTCTGTTGTAAGATACAAATTCTGTTTATATATAATAACTTATATAAAAAACAATATTCGCTCGTATATATCAATGCTTACTTGAAGATTATTACTGTTGATATAATTTGAAGTTATATTTACAGCACTGTCTATTGTATCTAAGATAAGATACGCCCAATCATAATTAATTGGAAGTTTTTTAAGCTTCGTAAAAGGAAAATCTGAAGATATTTTTATAACGTTGATAGCAATTAAATGTTTTATTTAGAGAACTGTTTATATATAGAAAGAACAAAAATATTTTCGAATAGGATAAATTGTATAAGTACTGTATAAGTACAAAATGAAAAACATCGAACACTGGTAGTATGTCGTGGGTTCGTGCCTCTCAAACAAGCTGGCCACGTGGAATTTTCCAGATTTTCTTCACGTGTCTAAAATGGCATTAAAAGGCTTTAATCACTTAAAAAGGCTCTCTTATTGCGTTTTGGGCAATAAAGGAGCTTTCTTAAGTGATTAAAAGGGCCTGTCAAGAGTGGAAAAACATACGTAACATAATTATTGATATTTTGTAAAAAATTAGATGAACCATGATCTTCTTATAGAATATACAGGGTGTCCCATTAAGTATGGAACCATAGAAGTTATGTTGATCTTTGTTTATTCTTTTACAGATAAAGTATGGGGTTGAGGAAGGAGGAGAACCGAACACAAGCAGTTTTAATGGTAAGGACTAGCAGTTAGCGAGAAGTCATCGACAAACATATATTTTTACGTACATTTATACACATAAAATTCATTTTACTTCTTATAAGCAGTCTTGTGAGTGCCCAGTTATCAATATTAACACTGTAAAATTAATTTATCAGAAGGAAAAATTCATATGTATTAGTTCATATTACTCATAAAATTATTAAAAATATTTATTTTAAAGTAGGAACAGGTAGGGCTTAAGTGCTTAAGCTAAAAAATCTGCAGCTTAGTGCCTTGCTTTATAAATTTATACTCTGCAGCTTAGGACCTCACATTTTTATATGTATCATTAGGCCTATATGAGAAAAGGAAGGAGGAGAAGAGAAAGTTATGTATTATAGTTTAGGACCTCACATTTTTATACGTGTGCTTATAAGAGGGAAGAAGGAGAAGAAGAAAATTTATATATTATAGCTTAGGGCTACAAGTCCAGCCCTAGGAACCGGAGAACATTATTCATTTATTCTTTAATCATCTGAATTTAAGGAAACCTTTTGATGAAATTCAATGAAAGGATATATGGAAAATGAATGCAACTAACCGTGTAATCAAAGCAATTCTAATTTGAAAATTATTTCGAGTTTCGAGTAATGCTACTTAAACTCCAAACATGTCAATTTTCTACTAAAAATTCTTAAATTTCTAAATTTCGTGCATTTTAAATTAAAGTAAATACTTTTTATTAACGAAATATAATTTCAATTTTGCTTAGAAGATTTTATTATAACGAGATACAGAGCCTAATGAACTAAGTATGCCATTAAGAATTTGTCAATTTAATGAATAAATAAATACAATTTATTCTAGAACTAATCAACGTCTATCTGAGTTGAATAAAGATCAGAATTGGTCAAGGACAGAAGCTAAAATTGTCATAATAATGGAGTAAAGTTTAATTTATCACTGACAGTTTCTGCTTTCATCCATTGTGAATTTGTACATAAAACTTTTCAACGGCTTATTCTTTGAAGTTTTATAAAATTTAAATGTTGTACTAAAGTATATTCACTTCTAAACAAAGTATATTTTAACGAAAACTAAACTTCACTAAATTAGCATAAACAATAGCTTAAACAGCATGGAGTAGGCCTTCATTCCCACATTTCTCTGCCATTTTCAGAGATTAATTGAGAAGAATTCCAGAAAATAATGGATCTGTACTGTCTTTTGTCTACCCCAAACACGACTTAACTCTATTAAAACTTATTTTAAACTTATTATTACTAAATATTCTATAGAACACTGCCGAACACTATCCATAAGATAAGTCTAATAGCAAAATCATGTTGTCCTTGACATAAAATTCGTAAGGCCCCTTTCTTCCATTTTCTATAATTCGCTCTCTCTCTCTCTCTCTCTTACTCTCTCAAGGGAAATTTTATATTATAAATTTAGAAGAAGCATTAGAACGAAGAGATCATTGTTCCTATTTTCCTAAAAATCTACTTTAAGTTCTAGGAAAGTGTTTCGTGTAGTAATTTCTCATTTGCATATTTCACTTGCCAAAAAGTTTGGCCTGTCCTTGAAGCATATGTTCAAGGAAGCGTAAATATTACTCGACTCGAATAATTTAAGTTATATAAAAGTCTTCTTCTGTACTAGAATTTACATCCCAGTTTTAAATCGTGCATATTAAACCTACGAGTTAAAATTAGAATATATTATACAATATACCAGTTATTGGTGTACTTTCTAGTGTTTCGAGTAATGAATCAACACTGCAAATTTCCCAGATAATCTTTTATTGCATACTTTCTAAATTATTCCCCATTATCCCTACTGGTAATTCCCTCTTAAATAGGTGGCCCCTCGGGTGACATTGCGACATTTATCCGAATTTTTAAACAGGAAAATCCGGTAAAGAATAGATTAAAATCAGTAAATAACTCATGTCAATGATAAATTTTACATTAAAAAAATATTCTGTCATGTAAAATTTTACTGTAAACCTACGTACCCCTCTCTCATTGTATGCCTCAGTTAATGACACATCTACGCTTAATAATACAACTTAAACTGTTGCTAGAGTATTAAAATCTTATAGAATATTCCTGGATAATTTATTTAAATAATTTACTTTTTAATTTTTTCCAATTTATGTGATTAATTTGCTTTAAATAAGCTATAAAAATGGTTAATTTTCTCTTAATTCCATGCAGATTTGGAAGAGGTTTCAGAAGCTATTTCGGAATTAAAAATAGCTTTTAAGTTTAAAAAATTAAATTAAACTTAATGTTTATGGATTTAATGTATTCTGGAAGAGTTTTAAGATACAACATGTGAAATATTTAATGACATTTTAACTAGTTTTAATGGTTAGTTAATTATTTCTTAATAGTTTTTAAATGAGAAATGGGCTTTTATGCGGTTTTATGATAATTAAACTAGCTGCAAATTATTTATTTCTCATTAAATTAAACGTAAACAGTAAACACCTTGCTATAACTTTGGAGCTTATATCAAAGCTATAATAATACATTTAAGAGACATTTAAGATCGATTTAAAGTAAATTACTTCCTTATAACTCTAAAAATTCTTAAAAACGCTCTAAAACATGCGAAGATAGTTAAACATTTAATGGATTTTAGACTATGTCTGCGCGTAAAACACATTTAAAATTAATTAAATTCAATATTTAAAGCTGATTTTTTCGAATTATTTAAGAATTTTCGATATATTTTAAAGCATAAATCTCTAAAATACACTTTAAAAAACTTGCCAAAAAAACAAGTTTTCCAGATCCATCACGTTAGACGATAGTATAAAGAAATAGGGGGAACCCCTTAACCTTGAATCAACTAAGTGATCAAAAGGGTTTAACTTTATCTTTGGATTAATTAAATTTAGAAAAAAAAAAGAAAAAAAATTCCCAGGTATTGAGACATCGTTTACATCACAAACTTCAAGGTCTCAAATATACAATAAAAGCCACTCTCACTCGCTCTACACATCACTTAATTTCTTCGATAGCCAGCGAGTTAACAAACAGGTGAGTGGCTGTTAACAGCCAACTAAAATACTGAATTTCTTTGATTTTATACAATTTAAATCTCCCTGTTTCAGTAGAATACATAGAATCATGAAGGCAACAATCTTGGCTGTATTGCTTTGCTGTGCCATTTTGGGTACCATTCTTCTTCCAACAGCTGAAGCTCAGTTTGGCAGAGGAGGATACGGAGGATTTGGCAGAGGAGGCTACGGAGGATTTGGCAGAGGAGGATACGGCGGATTTGGCAGAGGAGGATACGGAGGATTTGGCAGAGGAGGATACGGAGGATTTGGCAGAGGAGGATATGGCAGAGGATATAGAGGATAATCTCGCGGCTACTTCAGACTTTAAAAAATGGTAATTTTAATTAATTTATTAAATTTATTCTTTAAAATATTTTAAAATTTTATGTAATTTCAATATTTAAAAGTATCAAAACGGAGGATTTAGAGGCTTTTTCCTCTAAATCCTCCGTTTCGATAGGCTATTTAAAATTATTTTCTTAAATATTTTATAAATATTTTTGTCTTTAAATTTAAGTAATTCAACATTTTTGTATTTAGTAAATAAATGAATAAATTTTAAGCTTTATTGTATTAAAAATTAACAATATTTATATAATTTTTTTCAGATATTTTCGAGGGAACTCTTTTTATGTAATAACGATTATAAATTTTATTTTTAAACCTCAATAAAATTTTGTACATAAATTTTAACATGTGTGGCTTTGAATTTATTTATTATTTTATATTATTTATATTTTAAAAAAAGTTTAATTACATCGCAAAAATAAAAAAAAGCGTTATAAATTTTTATATATTAAAATTACCAACTTACATTAAATTAATTTTTTTATATAATTTAATTTTTATCTACGAAAAAATAAACAATTTTTTAAATTAATTTATATAAAAGTAATATTTTTGTTAAACGGGTTACAATTTTAGATAACAGATGGCGGCAAAATCAATTTTTTTTTAATATAAAAGTCTCGAATTTCAGTTATCACGTAATAATGAAAAATAAATTTTGATTGTTGCATCATAGTTATTTATTAAAATACTTATTACGTAACAATTAATTGAAGTTATTTTTTGTAATTTAAACATTTTTTTTGTGTGAGTAACTGTAAATAAATATATTAATATATAAAATGAAGGTTTTTTTAAAAGTCTGTATATTCTGTATAAGTTTATAAGAATATAAGCCTTTAAGTAATGCAAGTTTAATGTCTACATTATGCTAAAAAAGCATATTTTAAAATCGTATATTATAGAATTTAGAGGCTAAGTGATGAGAAATAAGGGGCTCGAGCCAGTTACGAATATAAGCTTCAGCCATAAAGTACAGTACATAAATATATTTTAAAATTTATTTTATTGGTTTTATATTTTATACCATAAATTAGTTTACATTGCCGATCGGTAGATGAAAGTGCAATATAGTCCGAGTTATACCAATGATCTAGTGGATAAAACCACTTATCACTGTGGTAGTTGGTCGTGGGTTCACACCTCACCACCTGTAGGCCGCGCGGAGTTTTTCCCGGTTTTCTTCAGGTATCTAACATCTAAATAAGAGCTAATTTCCTATAAAAGTCTTCCGAGAAGATATTGCTACTTAACAGATGCGCACGTGTTACTTTGCCTTATCTCACCAATCCAGTAGAGTCTGGATTCGATTTTATTCGAAGCGAAACTTTCGGGTGACCTGTTTATGCTCTGAAAGAAAAATAACAATAATAAATAACTGTTTAAGCTCGCAATGATATCGACCGTGTTTAATTTTTTAATTGTTATTGACATTATCAAATAAAAATTTATTGATACAAGTTATTGCAAAAGTCTAATCCATCCTAAATCAGCAAAATTAAACCTGAATAATGCCTAATTTGGATATTAAATCACTAAACCGTGTCTCTGGTTTGCGCCTATTTAAATTAACGGACTGATCACGTGAAGTTTTCCGTATTTTCTTCACGTGCCTAATGACGGATATCATCCTAATTTCGGCGAAGGATCCGGGTTCGGATCTTAATGAATTATCAACTGGAAATTTGGATCCGGATTCATTCTATATTCTTCATTTATATTGACCTACAATATTACGGGTCTTACCTGCCCGTAATTTTAATTAGGCAATCACAGACATGTAAGAGATCCAGTACAATTCGTATCTAATATAAAGAGAGAAACCGTATTATAAATTATTTTATTTTAAAAAGAAGCTAATATTTTATATTTTCATTGTCTTTTTCCAAGAACAACCAGAATATAAGGCTAGATCCTAGTTCGCAAGCCACTCGCCATATTTGACCCTGATTGAAAACAGAACATTGGATTCTTGCCGAATACTATAACTAGTTAGACTACTAGAAAAAGTCTGTCCTTTACGGAATAATCGATAATTGATTGATTAATTGCTAAATTTCTCATGAAAAATACGCCTATATAGTTTTTTTTTCCGATTGAATGTTAATTGGTTTGACAGACCACTTGCACACTCGGATTTATCCTCTGTTAATATTATTATATATTTACTGTAAACCATTTACCACAAATCAAGTAGTTCTGATAGAGGGTTACCACATACCACATACAAACCACTTTATAATATAATATTAACCACTTAAATACATCGTTTATGTAAGTGGTATTATTATACTGTACTGTACAATAGCAGAATACTAATTTAATCTGTTATCTGAATCAAGTCCTATCTATCCGAGGTCTAGCAGAACTATTTGGTCCGGGCCTCACATTTACATGGGCCTTAAAAACATTTGATACAATCTCACATTGTGAAAAAAAATCTTTATTTTCTGTCAAATTTTATTGTTTAAAAAAATAAAATACAAGTTTTAATGCTGAGCTCCAGAGTCTGATTTACATTTGTGGTCCTAAACTATAATATAATCGGCTCATCCCTTCCACCAAATGATAATGGATAATATATGTAAGGCCCTAAGCTGCACCTTGTTTATTTTGTGTAAATACAGCCTTCATAGAGCTTCCGAAAAGAGTCCTAGCACTTTAGGGCGGATCACTTTACTAAAAATACTTTTCCCCGTAACATATTAATTTCTATTTTTAATAAATTACATTGTTAGAAGGGAGGAAATATTATAATTTAAACAGCAGAATAATCTATTATTTCGACTGGAAATGCAATACTTGTTTACTTTTCTTTCTTAAGCTAATTATTATTATCTTGTCATAAAAATGCATATAAATTTCATTAATAGAAATGAATCATGTGGAAACTTGTTTTACAACATAATTGAGAAACTTGACTTTCGGAGAAAAAAAATTCCCTACAATTTTTAAAAAATAATTATCAAATTATACACGCAACAAGCTTCCGTTCTGTTAGTCATATCAAGAAGACTTTTTCTGGAAATAAATTTCATTCATTTGTAGAATTATCTCAGTTAATATTACTCACTTTATTCGGGAATTTCCCTATTTATATAATATTGTTGATAGATTTTTCTAAGTATTTTTCATTGTTTTCACTGATATAAATTTCAATTGTTTCCCTTAAACACTGAAGATCTGAAAACAATAATTGCACATATATTTTAAATTTAAATATTATTCTATTAATAAAATTTTTAAAATATTTTTCTTAAATAAATGCAGGGTATAAATAAGACTCTTCCATTTATTATTATTTCATATAAAGAAAAAAGTCCCTATGTACAGGAATATTTGGCCCTTTTTCTGTATAAATTGCCTTTCTCTTGTAAGATGGCGCCACGCACAATTTACACTTTATTGCCGGGAACGTTATGCAACTAGTTGCTGGATTTTTTACGGACTTTTAAAATTTTTTAAGGTCTTTTTTAAAAGATTTTATAAAATTTTTCGAGATTTTTAAAGGTCTTTTAATAGCAAGCAATTATAAAATTAATTGTTTTTATACTCAAGTGATGGCGCCACCGCCTACTATATATGAATAGATTTTTAAAATTAATTTCTAATTATTAATATTGTCACAAGATGGCGGCATAAGTATATATCATCAAGCCAAATTCTATAATTGAATTAATGAAAAATTAGCGCAAAAAGGCCTAAAATTTCGGCAATTCAGATTTATGATTTAATAACTTGAAGTACGTTTTTAACAATTTTTAAATAAATTTAGAAAAAGTTATTGATGTTAATTTAGAAAAAAAAGTTTAACAATTTGTTCTAATGAAAATAATTAAATAATTTTTAATCAATTTTTTTTATTCAGATTTATTTATATGCAGTATTTATATTTTATTTCTGTTTATATAAAGATTTAGAGACTAATCATCGTTATTAGTCCTCAAATCTTTAACGAAAAAATGAAAAAACAATCTAATACAGTGGTATCTTGTATTTGGAATGATTCTAACTTCGAACGTTCCAGAATTCGAACGCTAAATTCGAGAGATTTTCCATCCGGAGTTCGAACTGTTCTTCTCGCTGCGTAAACTCCATCCGTTATGTATGCAAGTTGTCTCTCGCTCTCGCTAATTTTGAAAGTTAAAAAAGAAAACTGGAAAATTGTATTTTAATTACAAATGTGGAATTGGCACGGTGTAATACAAGAATAGCAAGTAACGCGCGATCAGGTAAAGTGAGCACCATGAGTGGTCACTTTATCTAATTGAAAGATTGTGAAGAACATTTTAGGATTCCATTTATAACCGAAATTAGCTAAAAACTTGCGTAATATGTACTGTACATTAAGGGGACAGCAGCGATAAATTTCACCCTAAATTTTGTTTTAATCAGATGTAGGATTAAGAAAATTTTAGTCAAAATATTTTTAAATAATCCAATTAATTATTTTAAAAAAAATATATATCGTATTTACCTGCATATAAGACTTTTCCCTGAAAAATACTTTCTGAAAATGGGGTGCATCTTATATGCCGTCAAATACAGTTATTTTCTATTGTTATTCTATTTACAGTGCGTTGATCTTTGTTTATTCCTGATTATCATAAATTATCATTCCATATGACCTTATTTTGTACATCTGTATGTATCATATCTCTTAATAAAGATAAAATGCACTTTATTTTTTTACAATTAACATATTACTGGCCGAATTTATAGTATAATTATGGAGAAATCTTCATAATTCTCATTAGGTTAAGTCAGTGGAAGAACAAAGTATTTTATTTTTATACGTATTCTGCTGATATTAATATTGTAAAACCTTATATTTATACAGGCTTACAATATATTTTAATATTAAATTATTAAAGTTATACATTTGTGTATTTAAAGATAAACATAATGATTATTTTTAATTAATATTTCATTTCGCTATTCAGATGTTTTAATAAATATTTTTAAAAAAATAATATTAAAAATCCTTTAATGTTAAGTTAAATTTTATATAAAACCATTTTTAAAATATGTATTACGCTTTTGCTATGAGAAATATTATGAAGAAAAATAAGATAATAACAAAGTATACCAAGATAGTGAGATAAAGCAAATTGTATTGTCGTGATTTTATAAGTCGATTATTTTACACGTGGATAAGAGGGATGATAATTAGACGTATATGGATATTGTTGTATACTGTACACTATACATTAATAATTCTTCTATTGTTCTTTCTATGGATACTAATGCATCTTAGGATTGAATCGTGTAGCGTAACTAGAACTGCTGTTAGAGGGCCCTTATTAGAATGTACAAACTTACATTCAACTTTTTACTACTGTAAA